ACTTGCCAGCTCATTCATTTTCTTTAAATCATAAGGGTCACATGTCTCTTAAACCCTGTCCAAGTTGCAAGATTTCTAGCAAAATGCATGAAAGACGTCTTGTTTTTCTTGGTTCAAATTACTTTCTAAGAAATGATGTAGTATGATAAAAGATCCAATGCTAATCATCACAAAGAAGATGCGCTATCTAGTCTTCCAATAGGATTAGTTTCTCAAGTACCTTTTAAGTATATGTACTTATATAAGGGAACCATCCAAGTGTCCGACGCCGATTTGATTCTCCTTAATATGTTGTAAAGTATACAATTTTAAGGTATATGTTTTTTTTTATACGTGCCCAATTGAAGGTTTAAGGGGTGATTCACCCTTGTGAAAAAAAACGAATTTTTTCTTTCCAAGAGAATATTATCAATACCAAAAGAGATATGAAAAAATGTTTGAAACAAAAATCACACGGTTCTTTATGCACTTTATGCCTGTGTATTTCAAATTTTGAAAATTTAAATTTTTGTTTCAAAATCTAAAAATTTATTATTTAACAATAGTCAACTGCTGGAAAATCAATTTATTGTTTCTGTTCTTAATATTTAATAAGTGTAGTTTTATTATACCATTAGCAATGCAATGTGCTGCTTATTTCTTATTTTTATTGTTTCGGATATTTAATTGTTGAGCAATTTTATTGATAATAATTACTAACTTTATTTACTTAAGTTTTATTCGAATTTTGATTCTATAAATGTGTTTACACATTACCATATAGGTATAAAATTTTCTTCGTTAATGTATAGTTTTCATAGGTATAAAACTTTCTTCGTTGATTTAATATGAATAGTAAGAAAATTATGTATATTAAAATATTCGTATATTACTGCTACAAAATCCTAATTGTCTGGAAATTTATAAGAAAGAAAATTGTAAAATTGTTGTGAACATTTTCTTTTCTTAGGATATAATATTGTATGTGCACGTTCTTTCTAAAAATGCACCTTACAAGAAAATTGGTTTGATTACTTTTATTGTAGTAATAATTTAATTTCATTGTACTTCGGGTTTTCTTATACATTTTCTAGGTACATTTACGTGTACAATTTTTATATTATTGCTTGTTTACAAAAATGTTTTTCATTTTTTTGTCTTTTTCAAGCAGATGCTAAACTTAATCTTTCATTTTCTGTTTAATGATTAAGATTTTACAACGGTACACATTAATGAAAATATTTTTATTTTTATCTTTGTTAACTCTACAGTATTACTTTTATTTTTTTATTTAACAAGTAACATACTGAATTGGAAAAGTGCCTCTAATGCAGCCTCAGAGAAATGTTCCAAAGCCACGAAGATATTAATCTTCGTCCAGTGAAGCAGAAAAGACAGAAGCGATAAAAAAGTGAGGCAAGTGAGGACAGACGATTAAAACCGTCACACAAATCAGAAAGCAAGCGAACTCTGTTAAGGAAAATATATTATTGGTTATGAAAAGGGTTCTTAAACTTCAGGCTGCACAAGCTTATAAACCAATTCCTCTTTGTCCATCTAATTCTTCATCCGTTTTACCTACAACTCAAGAAATGCCAAGTTGTTCAAATACTTTGTGGAAGAAAGCAATTACTATTCCATCGTTGCAAAATCCAACAACTACAACTTTCACGTTTATCACTTCGAATCCTAAAAATTTTGTGACATCCGAAATAACATATCGTTATAATTGTCTGACTTCAGATACGACAAAACATACTGCGTCAAACTCAACATATGTACCATCGTCATGGGAAGCGATTCCATATCTGTGCAAGTTGCACATGTAACAGCTTGTAAATTCTGCAAGTTTAATTGTGATCTAATAGTATATACGAACATGTTGACGTCAAACACAGACCACGTAGATGATGAACTCATTGTCAGTGTTTCTACGCACAAGCAACGGCTTATTGAGAACACGCAGAATTTTGTTGAAAGCACACAGTCAGAGGTTTTTCGAGGAAACAAGTATTCCTGAACTTCAAGAAAACTTTTCTAATAATCAAATCAATGAAGAAGATACAGAAGATAACAAAATAGAAATTAACAGGTGAGAATGAAAATAAATTAAACGAAGAGGATGAAGATGAAAATAGCAATAATTCTGTAAACGCTGAATATTTGAATGCTAATCAATCAACTAATTTGTCAGTTAATTATCAAAATAAAGCACAAGATGCTAGTGACAGAGAAATTGAGTAAATATATGTATATTAGGTATATTCTTATCGATAAAAGATGTCCTTAGACATTATATAGATAAAAATTGATTAATTATCGCCAAAAAATAGTACTGCAACGTATTCACAACTTGTTAGGCAATACATTTGAAGAATCACTTTCTTATTCATGGTGAGAGAGAAAATCAGTTAGAACATTACCATTTCACTCAACAAGATTAGTCAATGCTATACAAAATACGAACACTATTTTAAAAAAACCTTATTTTAAGGGTGCGATTTCACTTGATATTTGTCGGACGTATTAGCTATTAGATAGAACATATATAGGATTTTCATTAAAATTCTAGAAATTCCCTATTCGATAACCAATCGATACGTCCAACAAGTTGACAAATATTGGATGTATAAAATCGCATCTTGAAACTAATAATGTAATGATAATCTATAGTTTTACTTCTTTTAATTATTTATTTAGGAAATTAATTATTAAACGCCTTTAAATATATTTTTCAGATGCCATAGCCAATAATGAATATTTTGATCTTCCAACACAAGCTGAATTTAAAGCGGGACTGCAAGAGGCTTTATCGCGTTGTAAAGCAAAGATTCAGAAACTCTCAACAAAGAACAAACTTCCCTGTTAGATCAGAGAAGACAACGAGGCTAACGGGATATTAAAGAATTGCCTAATATATATAATATATATATATGAATAGAACAGAAAAATATTTTATATGATTATTTTTCTAACTAGTTATGAAAATATTTGGTATTTGATAATATAATATAAATATATTTGTGTACAAGATTATATTCACGAAAAAACTTATTTGCACCCTAGCATGCATGCATGCAACTAAGCAATTAATGTTAGCACAATGCTAGTAATATTACCCAGCATCTGATGCTAGCATAATGTTTGAGATTAGCAAACAAAAGACGTAATGTAGCCAAGCATTTATTTAATTCTAATGCTAGCACAATGTTTAAAACGTGCAAAGTTCCATTTCCAACATCGAATGTTAACAAACAACAGCGCACGAATGACATAGATGCAATGCTAACTCTTTTTTTAGCAACATGAAGGCGTTCACTTGCGTTCACTTTGGCTATCTGGGTAATTGTTAATCGATTTAAAGAATCTTGTGATATAATTAATTGCTCCTCAAAGTTATCCAATTTGTGCGCTCCTTTTAAAACTTTTATTTTTGAAGTGATTGGCTATAATAAAAAAGCAAAAATTAGAATTGCTTAATTATTTATATTTCAATTAAAATATTTATTAATAAACAATAGATAAAAAATATTTTTTTAAGTCTTCCATTATGTAATAGCAAAAAGTTTTTAAATAAAAAAAATCAAGATATAAATAATCACATTATCTGTATGTGTTCTTTTATAATTTTTATATTTACCTGTTTAAAAATTCTATTTTGATCTTGTTGAAATTGTTTTTGTATTTGATTATCACTGTTAGTTTCTTTTTGTTGTTCATTATTACGAAAATTTTTTAATGCTTTATTAACTATTTTCCAACACTTTAAACACAATTTGTTCCCAACAGTCACAAGTTTGTTTATGCAAGTAGCAATAGATACTATTTCATTCTGAGATATTTCTTTTTAGGTCCACTAATTTTTCGCAAAAAAATATTGCATCGTATACATTTAGTATTATCGAACTTTAATCTTCTTGATGCATTATTATTAGTGGCCATACTGTAATCATATGAGTATAATTACAACGTTGCATTGAGAAAAAAATCAGTTTAATATAAGAGGAAATGTTATGTTTAGTTTATGTTAAAGGAGCAATATTATATGTATATACTGCCAACACGAAATAAGTTGAACTAACTTAAAACTTCATCGGCAACACGCAAAAATATCACTATAATAGAAGTAAGATTATATCGACATATTTTATATTTAATATACATTTAGAGCGACATTTGATTAACACTTAGCACTCGAAACAAATATATCAAAAATGTAAATATATCTTATTTTACTTTTTCCCATTAAATTAATTTTTTAAGTACATATAATAATTTAATATTTTTATTAGATAGCAATATAAAAGTTCAATATTAATATCATTAAATGAATAATTTAAGCGTTAATTTTTAACTTAATAAAATAAAATTTATATATATGTATATATATATATATATATATATATATATATATATATATTATAATTATAATATAAATATTCAAATATAATTAAAATATGCTACAAATATAAGATAGAAAGAAGAATATCAAAATTTGGCTATCGGTATTCATCAATGATATAAGTGTCGTTAGATAGATCTCGTCTAATAAAACAAAAGTTGTAATGGTCATAATTCGATTGGTGCATGAGGTCAAGAGTTACAAAATAAATAACGCAAAGCGACAAAGTATGTCGTGTTCGTCCATCTACGAACCTTGATAGGAACGAACTTAATTCTTCTCTATAATACCGAAAATAAAATCGAAATTTTATTTCATTTTTATGGTATTCGGTCTCAATCTTATCTAATTTTTCTGCAGAATTGCTAAAAAATTTATTATCGTCGCCAAATCTGTCTATATATATGTATATGCATTAAATAACAACTCAATGCAATAGTTATTAATAGATAGGGACAAAAATGTATTTTGCGCACAGTGTAATATTAATCAGTAAAAAGGAATAAAAAATAAAAACATGAATATATGAATATTGCATTATTACTTTTGAGAAATTATTTTTCTCCACACTATCAATCGCTATAGAATCAATGTATATGTGTATAATCGTCGATAATACCTGTGTGCTCATGCTGCCCTGACGGGAATTTGATGCCCCTTTCTTTTCATCCCTTGCTCCTCGCACCTGGTTAAGTCGAAGCGTCACCTTCGGCGAGCTTCCAGACTGCCCAGTTCCCGATCTATCAACTGTAGAGAAAACAAAACGTTAATTAATTGCAAAAAATAATGGTATGCCAAAAATGTTGTATTATTTTCACGAAAATAATACATTTTTACAATGTTATAGAGAAAAAAGAGAAAAAAAATAAATTTTCAAAATTATATTAATCATCAAAAATTATTTTTTCAAAATTTTATTAAAACAATTAAATAGAGACATTTTTACTATAAAACTTTTGTCTCAAACATTTTTTGATATCTTGAATAATTTTCGAAATATATCGAGAAAAGCAAAAAGGCATTCTATACTTATGAGTGATGACTTATGACTATTTCACCCCCTTAGACCATAATTCAGCACGAACAAAATAGTATCTTATGTGACAAGTGCGGAAAAGAACGAATTATGTCGCGCGTGAAGTTGCCGCATGTGTATAAATATAAATATAACAGTATATAAAATACTATTTCTTAAAAGATGTAAAAATCTCTGAAGTCACCAGATGATAATTAAAAATGGTAGTAATTTAATCAACCAACTCTGGCTATTAATTTTTTAATTTTCTAATAATTGTCATTATTATAATTTGTAGCTTATATGAACTATATGAAATATCTTATAATATTCATTTTTTGATAATCTTATTTCAATATTTTTATGTACAAAATAATGAGAAATCAATTAATGTACAAAAAACATAATTACTTTAAAGAAAAAGTATGTAATTTGCAACTAGCAACTGCATTTTTCTTCTTAAAAACAACTATGTTTTTAAAACTATTCTTGCTTTTTATATTAATTGATTTCTTTCACTATTTTGTGCATAAAAGTAAGGTATATTGATGTAAGATAATAAAAAATATAATTTTACGAGATATTTTATATATAGATTATATAAAATTATGTCATATTAAAGTACAAAATATCTCGTATAAACTATTCATTTCTATCATCCTACTCTTATAACTTTTTGTGCCAAATATTGTAAGGAATCGATTTATATGAAAAATTATAATAGTTCCATTTTAAAAAATAAGTGGAGGTTTGTTTCTTTTTATTCCTTAAAGGCCTTCAATATTGTTTTAGTCATCAAATTTTCAAACACTTTGTTCCATTTAAAGTATTCCTTTTATAACACTAAAGTCTTAAGAATTCACTGATTTTTCGGTACAAATAAAGTTAAAATGCATATCTTTACACCAGAAAAAAAATTAAATCATATTACCGAACTTATAAAAAAAAATTATGACTTTCAAAATTTGATTATTTATACGTGACTTTAACGAAAAAGTTTACTTTCCACATTTCAATATAATATAATTTGTTTATCAAATATCTTAAGATATTAAATATTAACTGCGCTACATATTCACTAAACTCTATACTTTCGATAGTGTCGATAAAAATACAGAGCCACCGAATATTTAAACAAAATATTTCTGTTAAAACTTAAAACTTAACGAAATGTGGTTTGTAGATGAATGTTTTTAATGGCGACGGAATTATATTTGACAACGTTTCTGTAACCTTACTGAATCTTTTCTTTGTAGAATTGATAATATTTTTAGTGCGGTGCTTTACGTTTATTTTCACAAATTGTCCCTTATTTTTGCCCACATTACTCCTCACTTTATAGTGATTATCATTCATTATTATTATTATAAAATCTCTCTTTGGTAAAAAGAAAATGTCACAATATTCTTTAATCTTTAATCGATGAAATCAGGTCTTGTTCTTTTGGCTGAACTGGCTACACTAGTTCAGAGTTCAGAGTTTATCAGGGTATCCAGCAGACTCATTGAAAAAAATTCCCTGACTTTTTCAGATTTTCCAAGACAAGAAATTAATTTTTTCCCAGACTTTTTAGTATTATTTTTTCCAAATAGATAATTTGCATATATCTATATGATAATTCAATTAAATGTTAAATCATGAAATCATTGAGATATTTTTTTTAACAATGAAAAGGCTTAGAAGTTAAAAAAACAAAAAGTTAAATCAATTACAATCTACATTATGTACGTAATCGAAACAAACATATCACTATAAACTATTTAAGGGTCGACAGATCGTCCGGCCAGGAGGTCGATTGTGTATCTTGGGTGAGTTTGCTCAGATGGGGTGAGATAAAAATTACAAAAGTGAAAAGATTTACTAGATATCGACAAATGAAACTGTGGGTACTCTAGTAAATTTCCTCACTTTTGTAATTTTTACCTCGTGAGCAACTCACCCAAGATACACAATCTACCCTCAGACTCCAAATTGATGTTGGAGACCTCGCGCGGTGACAACGCGAAACTCCGATTTCAGTGTTGCCAACGCCGAGAAACCAATTCTCGGGTTTTATGTAGTGGTGCATGTCTGTACACGTACATACACCATTGCATTGCTCACACGGACGCACCGTAGAGAGACAAGGACAGATAATCACGTGTTCTCCTTGTTCCTCTACCGTGCCGGTATACGCGAGATGCGGCCTGAAAATGCTTTCTGGCCTTCCGTAGCAGAAGGCAGTAGCGTAGCAAGGCTAATAAATACCTACTTTTTGTAAATTTTATATATGCTTATGCACATATGTGCGTGTATATATATATATATATATATATATATATATATATATCTAATTTACTGGATGATATACTGAACATCCTTGCATTGATTATACATTACTCAACGTTCTTTCACGTTATAAGTATTTGGAGCAATTGATACAATAGCATCAATAATCAAAAAGAAATCAAGAATAATCAACATGCTCCTTATATAATATATATATATATATATATATATATATTATATAAAGGATATGTTGATTATTCTTGATTTCTTTTTGATTATTGATGCTATTGTATCAATTGCTCCAAATACTTATAACGTGAAAGAACGTTGAGTAATGTATAATCCAATGCAAGAATGTTCAGTATCATCCAGTAAATTAGAGTTCAAATATATCAATATCAATTTTTTATAATATATATATATATATTGGAATATAGAAAAATGATAAAAAAATATATTTCGGCAATTTAAAAATTTTTTAATATATTGAAAAAATTTTATTATATACACTATATATAAGTGTAAAATAATTCAGAAAATAAATTTAAAAATAAATTTAATAAAAATCTACATACCAGCTGTGTGCATGTGTGCAATTGATTTATTACTTAAAATTTATTTACGGAATTATTTTGCATTTATATATTTATAGTGTGTGTAATTATAAAATGATTAAAATATTTTCAATATCAAATTTTTAAGTTTATCGCCTATATAAAAAATATAATTCTATGATTTTCTATATTCCAATATATTATAAAAAAATTGATATTGATATATTTGAACTCAAGTTTTTTACGTGATTAAATATTCTTGCATTGAGCCATCATACGTTACTCGTAAGTTCTTTCACGTCATAAGTGCTTATGTAGCAGAGAGAAAGAAATAAGAGTTATACAATGTAACATCAATAATCGGAAAAAATCAAGATAACGGTTGTCATATCTGTGTATATATATGTATATATATATATATATATATATATATATATATAAACTTATATATTTTAAACTTATATATATATAATATTTCATTTATTTATAAAATACATTTTATAAATAAGTGAAATATTATACAATGTACAAGATGTTCAGTTTGTGCCATAACAAGCTTCAATCAATAATTATTACTCCAATGAGTATAATTCACAATAATTTTTATATAATATAATAAGTATTTGAATATATAAAAATATGTTTAAGAAATTGTTTTAAAAATTAATTGAAAAAGAATATTTAAAATATTTTTTTATAGACTAGTATGTTATTGCTCCGACCTTGCGATGCTGAAAAAAATTACATAAATTTTTTTTATGAATATAGTAAATTATTTATTATATATAGTTTTATTTAATTATTTACATAATAATTATATTTTAATATACAGGGTGTCCGGTAACTAACGGACCAATGATTAAGGGCGGATTCTCTGGCCAATTTGGAGACGATTTTTCCTTAGCAAAAAAGTTGAGAAGTCAATAATTTTCGAGTTATAAGCGATTGAAAAAATGGGTTTTTTGAAAACTAAACGTTTTGGAGTGAAAAATCTAACATAATTACATTCTTCAGTTAATTTCAGGTAGAGTTTACTATAATAAAATTTTAATTTGAGACTTAGTTATAAAGATATTATACATAATGACAAATATTGGAAAGTTGTAAAAAATGATGACCTTTTCCGACATTTTCGCTGAGGAAAAATCGTTCCCAAATTGACCAAAGAATCCATTTGTAATCGTTGGTCCGTTAGTTATTGAACACCCTGTATATTACGCACACGGATAAGAAATATTTTACATTTGCTCATCATATATAAAAATATAAAAATAATGGAAATTAAATTTTACATTAATTTATAATAGTATTATGAAGTAGTTAATACATGAAAATCATATAAGATGAATGCTGTACATCGATTAGCATAATATGATTACAAGTCAATAAATGATTTTGCTAATATATTATTTTGAAAATTTAAAAAATATAAAAACAAAAAAATGAAATTAATAAATTTTCTTCATTCTTTGTTTTCTTCTTCTATTAATTATTTTTTTATTATTTTAATAAAAGATGTATAGTGTGTAATAGATTAAATAGATAGATAATTTATATAAATATATATAATTACGTTTTGAAATTTATATATATATATATATATATATATATATATATATATATATTATATTTCAATATATACATATATATATAAATTATTATTTATCTATTTATTATTATTTATCTATTATATATATAATTATTATTTATCTATTACATACGATACGCCTTTAATTCAAATAATAGAAAAAATAATAGAAAAAAACAAAGAATGAATAAAATTTATTCATTTCATCTTTATTTGTTTTTATAAAATTTTTATTCAAAATAATATATTAGCAAAATCATTTATTGCGACTTGTAATCATAATATTACGCTAATCGATGTACAACATTCATCTTATAAGATT